CTGAACTACTCAGGAAAAAAGCTGATAATATGCAGCATTTGCATTGGTACGAGCAGCCATGCTAACGTCGGCTTTAGGTTTCTAGATGAGAATGGCATACTGCAGCCTATGCGTACGAAGACAAACAACAGGGAGCCTGCGCATTTCTCCGTAGAACCCAATCCCGGCAGCGCCGAGAATCTATCGGTTTGGACTTTCCACATGGTTGCCGATTGCCATGGGAAGGTAAAGCTGCAAATGCGCGTAGACGATACCGGAAAGGTTACGGTAAATAGCATAGAAAATCAAAGAGATGCAGCTTATAACCACAAAAGCATTAGCACTCTTACGGTGCTTAGCCTCTAGAAGCAAACTATGTTTGCTGGAATATATGAACCCACACACGAAAGAGGACTGGTTTCTTCATTATTTGGAGGATGGGGGGTATGGAAAGGGTGACAGTTGGCGCGAGACTGGGTTGTGGGTAAAGGTTGGGGGTTTGGGATTGATTATGTGCACCATTACCATTAGCGGGTGGAATAACTGCAATGCCGGGTTTAGGATCGTTGACGAGACCAACACCCCATTATTGCCTTACAGGAAAAAGACGAATAACAGGGCTCCGACTCATTTCACGTTTGAGCCCACGCCCGCAAGTGCGGAGAACCTAACGTCGGTGACTTTTCATATGATAGCCAATTGTCAATATGCGAAGCTTCAAGTTCGCCCCAGTGATGCTGACCCCTCGAATCCCTCCCAGTATCCAGGTTTCGTTGGAATAAATACCGCCTATTCGAGATCCGGTGCCGTGGCGGATGCTATTTGGAGTCATAAGACCATTTCCACCATGACCGCCATACCGCTAGTTCCGTATTATCAAGGCGGCGCGAATACTATCTTTACTTATCCCCAGTCGAGGATGCCTGACGACGATAAGCCCCCAGCAACGCACAAGGGTAAGACTAACCCTTCATCTTTTTCAGGAGGACCACCCCAATAGCTACTACTAATATCCAGATGTTGTTGCCCACGAACTTCAACAGTTCGCCGCCGGCTCTAAGTGCCAGGCCAATAACGCTACCAAGCAGCCCAGGCAAGCCGGCTGCCATCTTTTTTCCTAATTCGGTTAAGCCAGCCCCTAATTTCTTTACGCCTGCGCCCGTAGCCTTAAGCGCGGATAGGATTACTCCTACTACGCTAGAAATAGCGACCGCAAATGCCAGCGGAATGCCATACTTCACCAGGAGCTTTTTTATCTTTTCCTTGGTGGTAAGCCCCAACTCTCGCTCTATGCCTTCCCTTTGCGCCTGTAATTCTGCGACCCTTTCCCTAAGGGTTTCTAATTCCCTTTGAGCCGCTTCCCTTTCCTCTTCAGAGCGGTTTTGGTCATTACTTATTTCCTGCTGCCGCTCTATTTGCCCCTCCAAGTCTTCGACGGCCTGTTGAAGTTGTCGTATTTGTTCCTCCGCCACTGCCTTGTCCACCATTACTTGCCTTTCTCTGTCGACAGACTCCATTAATTCTTTTCCCAAGCGCTGTAGCTCTGCGTCTTTTCCCGCCGATTCATTCAAAGCAGCCCTTAGCTGATTTTTTGCTGCGCTTTTTTCTTCTAGCAGCTTAGAGAGCCTAGCTTTAAAGTCTGCAATTTCGACGGCATGACTTTCAGTAGTTAGCCTGCCTTGTTTCATGAATTCGTCTTCCAATTCTTCTATGCGCCCCTGTAATGCTTGGTTTTCCTCCTGGACGGCTTCGAAGCGACCATCAATACCACCCCCCTTCTTGGCTGCTTCGTCAAGTTGTCGCGTAAGGTCGTCGATGGTTGCCTGGTTTTCCTGCATTTCCTTTTGATGTGCTTCCTTTTCAGCTTTTAGCTTTTGCAAGAAGCTCGCCAAGCTTTTAGTTGCGTCACTATTTGGCGGAAGTTCTTCGAGTTCTTTGGTCTTTTCCTCTTCAGTGGTTTCTAATTGTCGGAGTTTTTCTTGTTGCTTATTAAGTAATACGTTTATAGATTCAAGGCTTGCTTTAACGCTTGGCATTTTGACGCTTTTAAGGTATTCTTCATGGAGCCTCGTAGTTTCCTTTTTACTCAAGGTAGACAACAGCGTTAGGTTAGGATTTCCCAACGCTGTCGTTATTTCTTTCGAAAGGCCACTGTTAAGTAAGGTAGAGTCCTTTCTTTGATAAAAGTTGTACCATTTTTCTCTACCTGCGTATCGAACTTGGATTTGGCCTTTATCTCCTACTCCGAACTCTAAAAGAACCAGATTTGCGTTAGGATATCGCTGCTTTACGTTGTCGATGACTTCTCTTAATATTTCAGTT